TAGGGAGGAATACTAAAAATAATTTTTAAAAATTTTTGGTGGAGAGAGAGGTGTGGACATAAAGGATAGTTCTAGAAAATAGAGGGTCACAGGTTTGCCAGATTCGGTAGACATGTGAACAGTCTATGATAAAATCTTAGTTTTATGCTAAACTACAGACAGTACTGTTATTGATCTTTTAGACATATCCATGTACCAAAAACATTCTGTAGTTCTGTTTCCAGATAGCATATAGAGATACAAATGTGCAGCTTTGTAACAATGGAGGCAACCCTGTTCTGTTTTAGGATCTGGACTCTTTATACTTCATGCAGCCAACACTTTTTTAAAGGCTTCCTATTTGCAGTGATAATAAAGTCCAATTTTTTAAAGACTGACATTAACCAGGTGCTATTGGATACTCCCTTTCTAATGCTCTTGTAAGTAGGCCATGTCACTTAAATACCAATGCCATCTTGAGGAGTGGCCCTGGTTACATTTTCATAATATTGCTTCATTAAAATCTGTGATTCAGTAGTTTTGCCTGATCTGAAAGTGGCACCATTGTACTCAGAAGATCTGATAAGTAAGAGTGCCACAGAACGTGTTTGGTTCTAGAATACCGAGGTTCATGTCATCTCTGAATTGCTTGCCCTTCTGAAGCGATAAAACTGCGAACGCCAAGTGAGCATAGCATTTCTTTCTGGTGTTTATGATATAACGTTGATTCAGAAATTTGGAAAACTTTTCAGGAATCATCATTGACGTTCTTTAATAACCGAATGTATCACAAGATGCTCTTCCAGATCGTACTATGGTTATAGAAGACTCCCAAACATTGAACGTAAATATCCTTCATCTAATTAGTGATTTAAGTAAATGTCATAATTTTAAAACTGTCTGTTGAAGAGGGTAATTAAGGCCTTAAGACAAAATTTGCATCTTTTCATGGTTGATAAAAATAAGAAAGCAATTAATATAGGATTCCTTGAAGTAGTACTAATTTTGCTCTTATTAAACATTATTAATGGCAATGAGGCTTTCTACCCTAATCAGAAACATTTCCTCTAAACAACTTCGCACCGATTGTGACTATTACGTGCTTGTTCTCTCTCCCCTGCCTGTGTCATAAGCCCCTTGAGAACAGAGGCCATCTCTTTCTGCACTGTATATATAGCATAGCACGGCACTTGGCACACCGTAGGTGTTCAAGAACCAGTAACCAGATGGCCCAGTGAATGAGTGACAAGCTGCTCTCGTTTGCAACATTGACTGTAATTTATTATAGAGTGGGCAAAATGGGAAGCTTCAGTTCACCTTATCATCCATTGATATAAGTAAAACAGTTGTGAGTCCTTTTTTTTAAGGTTATTTATAATCAGTAACACCCATATGTTCCTCTAGTTTATATCTGCTCAGGGCCTGAGAAAGGCAGGCAAGCTGTTACTGAAACTCTCCAGATGGTGTGGTCTTTTCAAGTCCTTGGGTTAACTTCTACCAATGGAGTATTCATCATAGCTCATACATCGATCTAACCCGATGGGTATAATCACCTGGCTAGTAATTATCGTAGTGGTGGATAGTTTTCAACCTGATACTTCACCCAAGGACAGCTTCTTATTCTCCTTCTCTTTCTTTTTTTTAAAGTTGCCACTAAACTGTTTCCTTAAAAAAAACTAATAAAAATGGAAGAAATAAATGAAAACTTCGGCTCAAGCTCTGGATAATTAAGGTTATCCCTTTGACTTAACACAATTTCTGCCAAAATCAAAAGAAACCTGTTTTTTTTTAATTAGCATAATGCCACTGTAATATGGGTAAGGATGTGATATCCATTAGGCTTTTTAAATGCCTAAATTGGGTTGCCAATTCATTAGTGTTCCACAGACCCCATTGGGTCCAAGGAAAACAGCCTAAAAACCAACAACAGACCATACACTGACCAAGTTTTAAAAAACCAGCATTAAAGATTTTTTTCAAATCCTAGTGACCATTTGATCTAAACTTACTGTTCATTTTTTAATATATCAGGAGTTTTTCTCAATAACTTTGGAGAGGCAAGTATCAATGAATGATGAATGATGTCCAAGTCAATAGTTCAAAGTTTACAGTGAGCAGCATTCTATATGTTTTAGACGTGTGCGTGTTCACTTTGTGAGTTCTCTTAGCTTTTGAGTTTAATTTCACATGACTGAATTCTAAAGCACCCTCATGATTCTATCTCTAGCCCAAGGTAGACTGTAGATTTACCTACATTTTAAATATTGCTATCTGGCAAATTAGCTTGTCTCTAAGGAACTTAATTTAAAAAATGCAGAAAGGCACATGTCACCCTAATATCACTATTCTAAATGCATAAAAAGCAGAAATCTCTCCCCCTGCTCGTTCCCTTCTTAACCAGCATTTCCTTGGTACTGACCTTCCTAGTCTTTCAAGTTATATGGAGAACGTATATAAAATGGGGAAATGCTATATATCTTGCTTCAAACAAGGAGCTATAATGATGTGGACTATTTTAGTCGGTAGCTGCCTTTTATAAAGGATATTCCTTTAGGTGGTCATATTTCAAAATACCAATTCACTTACATCAGCTTTTAGAAAACTCACATTATGGAAATTCTGTGTTTAGGGTAAAATGGATCTTAGAATGAAGGTTATAAGACATAATGGCCTTTGATTTTTTTTTTTTAAGCCACCTTTGGAACACTTGGTTTTTTGAAGTTTGAGGGTCACCGGGCATCATAGTTTCACAAGATTAGATAACCTTGGATCTGACATTTGAGATTGTTAGACCTTAACCTTTCAATTAAAAGGCTTTGTTTCCAAAAGATTAGCCAAGTATTTAAATGAAAAACCCAGCAGTGTTGAATCACTCCGAGTGGCAAGTTCATGCAATGATCATACTACAAAGCGATGTGACTCTTTGATGCCATGGTCCATACCCAGATTTGTCACCACCCCAGCCTCCACACCATTGCTCAAAACCTCAAAGTCTGCCCAGTACCGTCTAGACAAAATGTACCTCTGAAAATTCACTCTAATCCAGTTTGACCCAACTTTCCACCTTTTCCCCTCGTATCACCCAGCAAGGTCCTGTATTCTAGCCAAGCTGACATAAATATCCTTTACTCACTGCTATCAATTCCTCTTTCCTGAAAGTGTTTTCTGGCTAATTCACATTCGTCCAATCTGAAGAACTGAGTTTAATTCTCTCTTTTTGCTTGTATAATTCTTTAAAAAGGAGTTAAGAGCGTATGTATTAGACCTGTGGGATTTTTAGTGGGTTGGTTGACTTTTGTACTTCACCTTCTCTCCCGTCAGGTAGGGATGATGATACTTCCCCCAGAGAATTAAATGAGAGAGGTTTAGCATCATACATCACACATCACACCTGGCATATAATAAACATCCAATAAATTTAACTCATAAAAATATGGTATTCCTTCTGTGTTCCTAAGAAACCTGTTTAAGCCATCACCAACCCTGTACTTTCAATCCACTCTGCTCTCTTTTTATCCAGGACATATATCACCTTCTGAAAGACTGTAATCCCTTTATGTGTTTCCCTGCTAGAGGGCAAACCCTACATAGGAATAGATCTTTATTTTGCTCACTGACAAGCTCTAGAAGAGTGCCTGGCACATGCTAGGGACATAGATTTGTTACATGAATTAGCTTGCATTCGGGGGTAAACTTCATTTTCAATCTCTAAATTACAGTGGTTTTGAACAGAGATTAATCACCAAACCCCATATGCTCTGAATAAAATAAGAAGAAGAAGAAGGAGAAGAAATTTTCAAAAAAGCTGTCAGTATTCAAAAGCCTTCTTAATCTTCTAATAGCATGATTTCAGGGCAAAATCTAGGGTAGCCAATGACTTCCCCTTTGTGTAGTCACTCTGGCTAGGCACGGTGTGAGATAGATGACAGGCTTTTCAGAGTCAAAAGGAAAGGCATTTGTTTTTACCTTTTTAAAAAAGGGACTTTCTTAGATGAAGGTGCAAATGTAGAATGGAACTTAGGGAAGGGAACCTCAACACTGAAGAGATTGACCCTCAGAAATTTCAATCGCATCCACTTCTGATAGCCCTAAAAGTAGAACTTTACTTATGTTAGTGGGACTAAGAAAATTTAGTCCCTTGGTGTTGTTTCCCTTACTATTTTCTTTGGTGGATTCATTATCTGCATGTTTCTATAGTTCGTTAACGAGTGCATCCTAGTTTAAAAAACAAAACAAAAACGTTACAACTATAAACATTCCTAATTTCAGACTTTGCTGCACTAGAAGGCATCTGTGGGGTGTAGAAGGGCTTGATCATTAGTTTTTTTGAGGATTTGTTTTAACCTCCTTGTCTACAATATTGAGTCTTTTTAATAAAGATTGGATTAGGAACTTAATAGTGGCTTTCAAAGAAGACTTGTCTTTGCACAGGGCTATAGAGTTCAGCTGAGGAAATGAATGATCTAATTACATTCTCTGATGCTAAAAATGCCTACTATTCTAAGACCAGAAAATAGCAGATGCCACCATGAATCTGTCCAAAGCTTCTAGGACCAGCTTGAGTTACATTTATTTAATGACTATAATAGGGATAATAAAGAGAGGCTACACATGGAGCACCAATCTAATCACTTATATCCATCCCACGGTTGCCGTAGTATTTAAGTGTCAATTACTTAGCAGGCACAGAATTTTGCAACAGGTCATTACTAGTTCAGAGACTAGACGAGATTGCTCTAAAAGCTAATGGAACATGTTGCTTAAATACTACATTTCTTATGAACCAGGGAAACTTCCTTTACAGTGAGTCATTGATGTTGACATTCCTGTGTAGGCTAACCAGAAGCCTTTTTGTAGTTCAATAAAAATAGGAATATCTCATAATGGACTGGGAGGTCTCGGTGAAAGCCCAGCAAAGTGGCGTGTGATAAGCAATCGTTGCTGCTAGTTCATCTTATGCTAGAACTATAGACGCAAGTAGCACGCCCATGTTTTATCATCTTAAAAAATGCCAAATACAGATGGTGTGCATTTAAGAGGCCTGGGAGAAGGAAGAATTCTCATTCCATCTGCTCATTCTGGGAAAGTCTCCTGTGGTAAGTCAGATTTTTGTGTGTTTTTTTTTTTTACCAACTTCTTGCTTTAAAAAAAAGGTTTAAAGGATCCTTGGGTCTCTGAGTGCTAGGCAGGTATATGAGTAATAACTTAATGCAAAGGAAAAACACTTGACACAATGTCTAGTCAAAGCTCTGATAAATTGAAAACAGAATATACTTTAGAAGTTTTTAGCATAACTATTAGATAGTAGTAATCTCGCTCTTAACTTAAATCATATTCATTTAACATGGCAGGAGTAGAGGGTTAACCAGCATTAGATTCACACGGAAGCTATCTGCAGCTGGAAATGATTTTGAATAACACATTTTAAAGGACACAGAGATAGATCCAATAAATGAGTCTTTATAGTCTAGAAAACCAGAAAAACTAGATTGTCCTAGTATATAAATTTATCATCTCAAATAAGTTAAGCCCCTTTGGGGAAGTAGCAATTCCTTTGGCACTATATGAATTGATGACTTGTTTAGTTAATTTATTTATTGCCTTTTAAAATATCCAAACTGAGTTGTTTATCAGGCTAGCAGTAGAGGTTTATAAGAAACAGCATATTACATTGACTATTACTTCACATAAATATAAAGTTAAGACACTAATTACTTCTTCAATCTTGTATTTTAATATAATAACTAGATCAATAGTATCTAGAATAGTAACTAGATCAAATAATAACTAGATCAAAAGTGAAACAAACAAAATCATACTGTGTTTGGGGAAAAAATAGCACTTTTCTAAGGTTCCTCGAAGTCAGGGGTTAATGCCACCTCAGGAGCTTATCTTAAAAAGAAAAAAAAAAAGTAAATGAAATATTCAAGACTCAAGCGTTTGGAAATGTTGTCTAATGACATAACCAGGATAACTTTCTTAGGTATCCTGTTTTTATGCAGCAAATCAAAACAACTTGATTTTTTGTCCCTTCCCCCAGCCCTGTAATGATTTAAATGTCAGAAAAGATGATGTAAGAAAGCAACCCAGTAGAATATGTAAGCTAGAAAATCTTCAAAGTCACTTTTTAATTCCTAGAGTAAACTTTTCTTTAAATCTGTAGATTAAGGTGATATTCGAGGTCTTTTCCTTGTGTTCTTTGATTACTATAACTAAGGAAGAAGATGAGTAAGTTGTGTCTTCATTTTGTAAGTACACTTAGTTCTCTGAAACACCACCATCCATTTTAATCTTATTGGTGGAAGTCACTTCAATGACTTGCCAAAGGTAGTATGGAAATTGACTGTCTGAAGCCTTCTTGGATTGGGAACATTGTTTAATGTTTGGGACCACATAGGGGTGGCTTTTTCCCGAAGGTTCTAGTAGATACAAGACTCTGAATTACTTTTCCAAACTTGCTGACTGTGCTTCATGATTCCTAAGGTAGATATCTAGCTGCTTTTGTGGAAGGGAGGTGATGACTTACATGATTCTAACAGGCATAATTTTGGTTACATTTACTTAGATTTATAGAGTTCATGAAACAAAACCTGTCTCACGTGCTTAGACTTTATAAGCAAAAGTCTGACATTAAGCGGTAGGCTTTCTAATTGCAATTGGAACTTCCTATGCTCATCTATCTGTGCTGCGCAAAGACCTTATGCAGATATTTCAATACAGTGGGATCATTTATTGTTTGATGTAGTTCCTTCAACTGTGCAGCAGCTAAAATCCCAAATCTGCCTCCTTTAGCATGGGTTAATGTACTACCTTAAAATGCACTTATTTATTAGCACTACTTACTTGGTCCAATACCATTTCCGAAAAGATGAAAGAATAATGAGAGTGCGAACTTTAGCTCGACGGTACGTGTGCATTTTTGCCGTCTTGTGCTTACTCTTTAGCAGCTTCTTGGAGTATTTGTAGATATACACAGTTTCCAAGCAGGTAGTCTAGCTATTTCAGGACCTTTTTTGGATCCTGCCACCTAAATTTTCCACACTTGGGTAGTTTTAGTATATCACCTCAAGAAGCGAGAAAACAAGTTGGCAGATTCACCTTTCTCCTTGTCTACCAGAAACTGAAGTTACCTAGGGATTTCTTATCTGTTAACCTATCTAATTTGGTCAGCAACCAAGAAATAAGCAAATGAGCCTGTATTCTTATTTCTCCCAGAAGAGTTCCCTGGCCTTTTAGATAGCATTCTGGAACTTTGTAAACTTCAGTGCGGTAGAGCACTGGTATCCAGAGGGGAGAGGGCTGGTTATCAGGTTGCTGGTACTATGCAGACCTGAAATTTGACAAATAAATAGAAAGTCTCTTTTTATTTTGTAATTGACTCTTTTTGTCTTCATCTTATTTAAAAGCAACCAAGTCTTTTCTAAGGGAAATCAGCTAAGTTATGAAGAACCACCCATAAAATGGTAATTGATATATCAAGCACACAGATAACAAAAAGTAGTTTTAAAAACATATATATTCTTAACCATGGAGGTTAGCAAGGCCACCATCATTCTTAACGATGAAGCGCAAATGCCCTGTCAGAGGTGGATATCTGGCCCAACTAGAAAAGATCCTATCAGACGTGGAAATGTGAGCCAATGGCAGGTTTCTCGTGGAAGGTTAATGCCAACTCTAAGGGTGTGTTGGACCCTAAAACAAAGGACATATTCTCCTGGAAAGGCCACCTAGAACCCAGAGATAACATATTAGGGTAAGATAACTTAAACTGATGTTGTGTTGTGTCTACATAGCTATATGAACTTTTTTTCATAGTTTTGTCTATGTACAGACACAGAAAAAGAAGTCCCGCCTGTCCATATACAATTATGACACACACCACGGTTTGACTCTTCTGTGCTGATGGTACAAGGCAGCTGGATTCTCGTTCCTTTAAGCTCTTCAAAACACAGCTTGTCTCTGAAACATGAGTTGTGGAAAGGTACAGAAACACTCAAACACTGGCTTTGAGGATTATATAAATGTGGGCCTCTGCCTGAAAAGGAAAACCACATTGGGATTTAATATAATTCAGCCAGGCTATTAAAGAAGAAACCGAATATCAGGCAATGTTTCTTGCCTTGGAAGAGGAAAAGTTTAAGATTACCTGCTTGCTTTTAAAGTGCTCTGCTGTAGTAGATCATAAAATAATTCTACTAGAGTCCGTGGCTCTTCATTCTTACTGATGTTTAAAATGCAGATGGTTCTAAATAACATGCCTTCTTTAGCTCTTCTAACGTCCACGTAGACTTTCAAGATGACTATTAAAACGGTACTAGAGTAGAAAGTGGACTGTGTTTAACGATTAGGATTTATATGCGTAAGTATCATAGGTGAAGGGCTCAAATGAAAAAAAAAAACTATTGTATCCTGATGTCCACATGCTAGATATGCTGTACACCCATTTTGACTTAATTCAGGATTATTTCATATGGGAACAAGAAAGCACAACTTGATGTGTGTTCTAGGACACAAACTAAGATTCATTTCTATGGTTTATTTTAAAATTGGCTTTCATTTCGGTAGCTAACCTAACTCGGCAAGACTAGACTTGAAAAAAATGAAATACTTGCTGGTCAGTTTGGGTAAGTATACGTATATGTGAGGGAAGACTGTTGAAAAAGGTATGAATAGTGTCAGTGTATTGGCCTAGGAATCAAATGGTACAATGACAGTCCTTTTCCCTCACCCCAGTTCATTAGCTTTTGGGCTACTTTTTTCCTGCAAGGGTCAAGCATAATACCTGTTATACATTTAAATGCCAAATTCAAAGTAAAAATCATATGTTTACTGTGTTTTTGTACCAGTTCCATAATGCTTCTCCTCAAATCACTGCCCCAAAGGCTCTGAAATAGAAAATTTCTAGAGGCTTCCATGTTAGCAGTGGTATTTTTTTTATATTTAAAACCCTAAAATTGTTCATGCAAGTTGTTCGTTCTTTAGAATACCCTCTTCCCTTGGCTTTAGGATGAGAGGAAAGCAGACTGAAATATAGTATCCTACTTTCCCATTTAATAGTACACAACTGAGTTCTTCTAAATTCAAATTTTAAAGCTGATTTATTCCATTTGCCCATTCCAATTATCTATCAACACTTCAGCTTTTAAAAATCTTATTCCTTCCACATGTTTTTTCAGCATACTTTCTGGTTACTATCACTTCATAACTTAAAATAGCAAACTCCACAACGGTCCCTTTCTGTCACTGTCACTTCAGCATGGTGTCCCCAGCCTTATGACAGCCCCTTGGTGCAGGCTACTGTGCCACCACCAAAACATGCCAGGTTTTCTCCACTGAAGCAAGCCCTTGGTGTGGAAGTATCTTCTTGGCTGGGTTAGGTGGGAACCCTGACATTTCAGCCCAGGTCTTTAGTGTAGACTACTCACTGAATACGCATTCCTCAGCCATAAAGAGTTTTCCCTTCATCCCTACCCCCAAACACACACATCTGCCCCATGTTGACCACTTTGGTCCATTGGCCATTTCCCAAAAATGTCTTGGCTTGCTCTACAGATTGGCCCACCATATTGCCAGCTACCTTTGAGCCTAAAGCCCAAGGTGTATGGCCCCCACAAAAAGCCATATTATTCTCTCTCCCAGAACAATGAATTCCAAATAGATTTTCCTCAGAATGAATGGGAATCACTCATGGCTTCTTCCATAGGTGACTTGATAGCTCTCTAATAGAAAAAGCAACAGCTAATAAGGTGGTTCAAGTTGGTACTTAATATTATAAACTTGACTCAAGGATGCAGTCATTACCTTGCCCATCTCTCTCCCCCACATGGCTCCTGAGGTGTAAGTACAAATGAGACAAGAGCAGATAAGGAAACAAATACCATATTGTTAGGGGAACCAGGGCCCAGGCATCCCCAAATGCGGCGCTCTGATAAATGCAGGCTGAGCACAATGTACACTAGACCAGAAATCTCCCATTCTCTTTTCCATGTCAAGTTGTGTCTGCTGCATTGCCCTGCCCAGCTCACTTGAGATATACAGAGCACACGTAACATAGCTAGCTGAGCCATGTCCAGATGGTTACTGGGGCCAAGGGCAC